TTATGTACAACAAATTCTAATTTGTTTAATTTGTTAGTCGATAATCTCCGCAGCGCATTCAAAACTCACCAAAACCAATTCAATGCTTGCCAAACTGTTGAAGGCAAACAACCGCCGCTTATCAGTTGCAACTAAACCGCAAATGTACACACACACTCGCACACACACACTCGCTCACACACACACACACACAGGCACCGTTAAACAAGCATTTACCATATTTTGGGCGCTTGAATTATGAATTGTGGTTTTGCTTTTGGCGTTGCCACCGAATAACCAACAAATCCGGCAACGCTGCGGCCAGTCGCTGTTTGCAATTGTTTGGCAACATTTGCTACGCATTTAACCTGCCCCCAGCCCCCCTGCCACCCTTGCCCTCCCCGCACAAACGTGCAACTTTTAATCCACATCATTAGCAAAATGCGAGCACACGCTGCGGTCAGCTCAGGTGTGTGTGTGTGTGTGTGTGTGTGGAGGGAAGCGTAGCAGCGGTTCCATAGAATGAACCAGTTCAGTTTCATTAGTGTCACAAAGTCCAGTGTTGGTAAGCGTGGAGAGGGAGGGGGGCACTGAAGAAGCAGTATGGAATGCGAGTCAATTACGCAGATATTGCAGCAGCTGGCTCAATTTAAGTCTGTGTAAGTGAGAGTGTGTGTGTGTGTGTCTATATATATATACATATACATGCTCCAATTTCAGTTATTTGTAGTTATTTGGCTCTATTGATTTTATGAGCAAACATTTTGTAAATGTTTTCATTACGCTCGTAGGCAACTTTGATTACGGCCTTCCAGTTTAATAAACTTTTGCCGCATTTATTATTTAAATGCTCGCATGGGCGTGTGTGTGTGTGTGTGTGTGTGTATGTGTGCGAGTGTGTGCATCAAATGGGCAGCCAAATTTGGGGCACATTTTTGGAGCGGGCGTCACTTCAAAAGTCAATTAAGTGCGGACACATCGCCAGCAGAGAACGCCCGAATCCAAAGTGTGTGTGTGCGGCACGCCCACTTTTGGTCCTTATAACTGCCTCCTCCTCCGCTGCCCCTTCCCGCTTTACTAGCAGCCCCCACTTATGTGGTTGTGGCTGGCTTCAACGACTCGTCTTCAGTTTGGCTGCTTCTTTAATCCATTTCGATTTGCAATAAATTCATTTTGTTTATTCACATTTCGTATGCTCGATATTCGATTCAAAAAGTTGAAATATCCTGCCCGGCAGAACCTTCAAGGGATATTTGTGCCGGCAAGCATGCGAATGGGTGGTAAAGAAAAATACACATATGATGTTTTCTATACGCCCCTCAAATATTATTTCCAGCCTGTGCCGAACATCTGTGTTTTGCTAAATCCTGTCAACAATCCAAAGCTGACTTTTAAGCGAAAAGGAATAAACCGAAATGAACTCGAATTCCTACTAAAAGTATTCGTACTTGTAATGATTGTTGCTATTCTGACTGCAGCTTTCTTCTACAATTTCCATACACACTTCTCCTAGGACTTATCCCACAACAACAACTCTAGCATTTTATCATTTATGCTACTTCTTCGAACACGTTCTTATACTACAACTTTTACTACATTTCTATTTTTTCTTATACAAGAAGTATCCTAGAACTTCTTCTACGTCTTCTCATACATCAACTCTTGCTACTTCTTCTTCTTCTACTTCTACTAAATTTTTGCTTCTAACTTCTTCTTCTAATCATGTTCTTACGCTTGTCTTTTAGTCTTACTCTTACTTATATGTCTACTGCTACTTTCTTAACCAATTTTACAGTTATTTATACTACAATTTCTACAACATTTTCCTCTAAAACGTTTACGGATGTGTCACAATGAAGAATCGAAAAATACTGCTCGTCTTTAAGCACGCTCATTTTATTTGTTGCCCTGTCCAGGGTATTTCGTAGTCTACCCTCAACTCAGCTCAACACTTTTGTGGGGTTTTGTGTGTGTTTTTGGTAGGCGTGGCGCGTGTGGATTTCGACACACGTCGTTTTCCATTAAATTTGCCTGCAGATAAACGAAAAATGTCGAGCAAAAGTTTTGCGTTCAGCCCAAAAAAAAAAAAAAACAAAAAAAAAAAACTCACGTGAGATTTGCTCCCCGAGCTTCGACTTGTTGTTGTGTGTTGTGGCAGGGGCCAACTTCCACACGCATGCATATTTAAATAAAGCCAAATACAAACATATATGTATATATATACATGTACGAGCAAGCAGAGACCGAGTCCTGAGCCTGGACCGCGTGGCGTATGCGTAATGTGGCGTGCGCTGAAACCCAAAGGACTCGCAACATTTTCCTTTCTTTGTGCTGTTGCACATTGAAGATAAAAAGCAAAAGTTAAAACCAATTCGCACGCAATTCTCGCCCACTGTCTGGCATTGTTCTTACTTCCCCCTTCCCCCTGGGGAGCTCCTGCCTCCACCTGAGCCTAAACAAATGCAACACTTTGTTTTAACAGCCAAAGCCATGACTACAAATTTATTTGTTTGCCTGCTTCTCGTCTATATATATATATATACATATATGTATATATTTGCATATGTGTGCGTACATTTATTTGGTAGGCACTGTAAAGGGGGAACCCCGCACAGGTGCGCTGCGGCGCTTGGGCCCGCGGGGCGCTAAAATGCAAAATAGGCTCTGACTCAAGCTAGGGACAACACGAAAAAATAACAAGACGAAAAAAAGGTTTGCATAATTGAAAGAAAACTTTCCGAAACTCTGGCAGTGATTAGGGTGCCGATAAGAGTTGGGTATTACGTAGGTGCCAGAGGGGAAATGGGGTGGGGGGGGGGGGGGGGTGGTATCGGGTTTGCTGCTGACGAAAAGATTAATGACTTTTAAGCTCAACTTGCGGCGTGAGTAGACTGTAAAATGAACTTGTGCCCAGGCACTTAGTTCATTTCAGTTCATTGCGGATTCAAATTAAAATGCAATAGAAATTGAATTTGGCATGTGATCTAGGTTCGAAACTATAAAAGACAAAGTTTGTGTAGCTGGTCGAATAGAAAACATAATTTTGTAAAGAAATGGAATAGACTGCGTCAGTCATTTAAGTGATTCAATAGTTGAACTAGTTCTTTGCTAATCCACAAATAGTTAAAGAGTCCTTTAATGAACATCAAATTGGCATTTAAACAAAAACCTTTTGTGCTGAAAGCAACCAAAAGAATTATTCTTAGCTCAAAACAAAGTAGAAATTGGAACTAGTTCGAGTCTACCATTTGCTTCTAATGTGAATCTAGCTCATTTGTTCGTTCATGAACCTTTGTAAGAGCTATTCAAAGTGTTAACTTGCAACGTGAACTAGTTCTTTTTAGCATAAAGCAGCTCTTCAATTAGTTCTTTAGACTATTAAATAGCTCTTGAACTAGTTCTTTTTAGCATAACATAGCTCTTCAATTAGTTCTTTATGTTATTAAATAACTCTTGAACTAGTTCGTTATACACGAAATCTTTAAATCAGCAGCCATATTAGTTGAACTAGTTCAATATAGTTCTTTCAACTTTCTGCATAAAACTGCATAGTTATCAGAATCCTTAAAAAAATTCTTTTTCCAACTAGAACTTAAAGCTTTAGGCCTAGCTTAAAGCCTGGATAAAGCGCATTTGCCAATTGGAACTAGTTCCAGTTGTGTGCACTTAATGTTAGTTCCAATTTGTTCGAATTAGAAGCTGGTTCAATTTCGAATCAGCACTTCGAACCTTTCATTTAATTTTCTTTTATTAATGCAATAAATTGGAGCCCCGTGCACCTGGCCTATGGGCCATGTTTAGCAGGTTTACGGTACTTGGGGTCATATCTTTTTATTGCCCAGCCACAATCAAATATCCATTGGCCAAAGCCCAAGTCCCAAATAGAAGCCAACAGGAGGTCGCCTAATCAAATTTGCGGAATTCGCTTCCTGCGGCTTCAACTTTGCTTCATATGCTCGCTCTCTCGCTCGCTCGCTCGCTCGCTCTCTTATGCCCATTCTCTCTCGCACACCTGAGGGAAATGTGTGCACGTTTCGCAACACAGTTTTGTTGCTTTTGCTCTTTTTGTTGCTGTTGTTATTCCCAAGCTTTTAATAACTGAACAAGCCGCTCATTAATAATTTAAAATAGAGCAAAAATATGCGCGCTTCTCTTTTGGCAGCTCTTTGTTGTTGTTCTTGTTGCTCTTGTTGCTGTTGTTGTTGTTGTTGGTCCCAACGGCGGCAGCGTTGGCCCAGTGGCGCGTGTTCGTGGTGAATTTCTGTTGTGTGGATGCCAATGCATGGCGCCCACAAACCAAAGAGAGCCAAAATGTACGCTCTCTCGCTGCTACTGCTCTTTGCATGGGCATTTGCGGCGCATTCTTTCACCAAGACGAACACACGCACACACATGTGCATTGGCTCTGCTGTTGTCGGATGCCTTCGCAGACAGCTTCGCGTAACCACCACGCAGCCCACCCCGCCACGCAACCCGTCTCGCCCACGCACACGTTGTGCTCGACCGATGATTCATGCTTTCTGACTGTGGATGCTGCCAGCAGAGCAATTGCATGTTGTTGTTGTTGTTGTTATAATACTTAAATAATTTATTATTCCGACACTTCCTCACAGAGCAGCCGCAACAGCGACCGCTACGTCAGCATTTGTTTTGTTTGTTGTTATATTTGGCTATTTTTTTTTTTTGTTTGTTTTGTTTACTTTTTGGTGGCGCTGCTGCTGCCACTGGCGACTGCACTGCCAGCGCTGCAGTGACGTAAGCAAGCGAAGCTGCGCAGCTGTTTAAATAGCACACACAGAAAGCAACAACAACGGCAACAAAAACCTATGCCGGCTGCGCTTACTGAATGAAATACTTTCATAGTACGCTTAAAACTCACCACAGCAGCGACAGCAGCAGCGACAGCGCCGGCCAATGCAAGCCCGTTGCTGACGTCGCGACGCGTCGCTGCAACTGTTGTTGCGTTCGGCGACGCTGCCCGTTGCTCAGTTCACAATTGAACGCTAGCCGTGTCTGACGCGTCGCGCTCTGCAGCTCTGTGACGTTAGCCAACACACACGCACACACACACACAATCGCCTCTGCTCCGCTGTACATCTCTCTCTCTCTATCTCTCGCTCGCTCTCGAGAAGACAAGTGGCTCCAAAACCGCTGTGTGCCACAGTGTACGTCATAATATTTAGTTACGTGCTTTGGCGAAGCGCTTCCGTTCGCATTTGCCGCAGCATCATAAATCAACACTAAATAACAACAGCAACAGCAGCAACAACAACAACAATCATTTTTAATAATTTTGTGCGCTCTACAAATGTTTTTATTTATTTTTTGTTCATTTTTTATTTATTTATTTGTTTAATTTATTATTTGCTTTTTGTGTTCGCGCGCGTGTGTTTTATTTATTTTCTTGTGTTTGTTTATTTGTGCAGCCGGCCAAGCGGCAGTTCCAATTAGAAACTACGCCAAAGCTTAGACCTCTCTGACTGCCCCCGCACCCGCTCCCGCCCCTGTCCCTGTCATACCCTCGCCTAATGTTTTATTTTTTGCGCGACTTTTTGCACAACTCGAAAACGCGTTCGAAAAAAAAAAAAAACTCAAATTTGAAGGCTGTTTTTTTTAAAGCTTTTTGTCAATATCTTTACCGTTGTTTGAGCTTTTCCCAATTTATGCGACATATCTGATCGGAAAAAATTTAAAGGAAACTTTTTTAATTGAAATAAACTTTTGTTAACCACAATCCAGCTAAATAAGCTTAAATTAATATTTTCGTTTGAAAACTCTTTGAATATAATATTTTAAATGTTTCGTGCAGAAAAGAAATTCCAGTTTGATCTCTCCCGATTATTTTTGAGACATTTTGCGTTAAATTTGAATTAAATGTTTACGGAAGAACCTTATGCAAAGTTTATTAAAATAAGATTTACAAAAGAAATTTAAGTTTTTAAGACAAATTCAATTTAATTATTTTAAAAAAGAACTACAAAAATATTAAATAAATGTTACATAAAAATTTACAAGTTTCTTACATAAATCTTGTTTTAAATACTTAACATAAGTTTCTCTCAAATAAGAAAAGTGAAATTCTTTGTGAATAAAACTTGAACTAGTTCCAGTTCGAATTGCTTTTGCAATAGCAAGAAAAAGTTGACTGTGATTGAAAAATTAAGAATAAAAAACATTAAAAAAAAAAAAAAATAATCCTAATAAAAATATTGTTTATAAAAATATGATAAAAGAAAGCTTGAACAAAATCAGCGAACTAGTTCAAAACTAGCAAAGAACAAGTTCAAAGATTTTGACAATATCTTTTCTCTGTCTTCTTAAGTTTTAAGTACAATAAAAAAAATCAGATTTGACCCAGTTAGTAATAAGCGTTATCTAAATTCTTATTTGGCGGCTGAAAAGTTGGCTCGCATGCAATTTGCATGCGTCTTGTGACGCAAATACTTGCGTAGTGCCTGTCAAACTGTGTGCAACATAACGGAGCTGGGCGAGCGGGCGCATTTTATGGCTTATCAATTGAGTTTCTACTTTTTACGACGTGCCTTTGACCCAGAAGTATAACAACATTATAGACCCTTCCCCCCTTCTCTCTCTCTCTCTCTCTCTCTCTCTCTCTGTCTCTCTCTCACTCCGCCTTGTCGACAAGCTAGTTACACGACCTACTCGACCAATATGTAATCAACATTGTGTTTGTACGACGTAATAATCAAAGCCGCTAAAAAGACGCTACGCTTGCCCGGGCGCAACAGTAAGAGAAAAGGAATTCCATCGAAGAGCGAGTGTGAGAGAGCGCCGACGTCGAGTGTGTTACGCAGGCAGACACGCACGCACGCCAAGCCGGCGTGGCGTGGTGTGTCGTGTGTGGAACGTAAGAGAGCGCTCTCTCTCTCTCTCCCTCTATCGCTCTTTCGCTCGTACTTTGCCTGTGCTGCAATTGCCAGCCACCCCAAAGCAGGTGGCGCCCTTGCGCTACTTTCATGTTGGGCTTTGCTTTCCGAAACGTAAAAACGTAACGTAACGTAGTATCTCGTTGACCTCATTTCGTGTGCGAAACTCAACGCGGCAGGTTGTGCAGCTCCCGCACCGGCAACGACGACGTCTTTGGTTTATCCCATGAAAATAGCGTAACAGAAATTGCCTTTAGCAAACGCGCGCGTCGCTGTCAACGTCGCTGTTGACGTCGCTGTTGACGTCCACGTCCTCGTCTTCGTCTTGGTTTCAAGTTAAATGTCAAAGTGTTTGCTTTCAAGTTGAACTCTTAACCTCGTGTGTTGTTAGTGCAGCGTTCCGATTTTTTACGTTTTTTAAGTTCAAAAAAATAAATGTTGCTTTTGTTGTTGTTTGATTTGATGAGCTGCTAAGCACATCGCGAGATTATAACGGCTAAAAGAAAGCACCCTTAACAGCAACAACAACCACCCCAAACAAAAACAACAAAAACCTTGCCACTTGGGGTTGCCCTTTGTTGTTGCTGTTGTTGTTGCTGTTGTTGTTGTTGCTGTTGTTGTTGTTGTTGTCTGTGGTCGCAGTATTTATTGTTGTTTCGTCTCGCAGATAAAAGTTTGACCTCGTTTGAGACTTTGAACGTTCACAAATCGGCCGATAACACAGCATAAATCCAATATATTTATATATATATGCCATACACACACACACATATAAAAAAACGTGCCATAAAGTGTGTCGAATTAATAACTTTTAGCAAAAAATAATCAACGCAGCAACAAAATGTTTGCCATAAACAAACGTGTTTGAGAACAAACAAAGAAAAGCACAAATAAACAAGGGAAAAACAATCAACAAAAAGCAGTTGAAAAGCTGCTAAAAAAAATTAGATTAAATTTTTAACGACAACAGCTTAAAAAAAAACGGCCTCAAAATTGCCGAATTAATAAATCAACCCACGAAGCTGAACAACAACAATTTTGGCGGTGGTGCGTATTCACAAGTTTTTACTCAAATTAAGTTAAGATCTTTTTTTTTTCGGCAAGCCGAAGATTAAATACCCTTGCAGAGATTCGTCTTGAAATGGAAATGCAAGTAAATGTTGAGTTTATGCAATATATTTTGAAAAAAAAAAGGGAATAGTTTATACAAAAACTCTTGATTGGACCGATTCTTTCATGGAACTATATAATATAGTAAAACGATATTGATTAGATTTGGCTTATATATATTTAAACTAGTAAATGCCTAGCTTGATAAATAGCAAGTACTCAATTTCCGACTGTTTATTTGTTCTATATAATATATTCGTCCGATGTTGAGAGAATTCTGCAAATATATATTTCTTCACGATAATATCTTGATAAACGCAAGAGCTTGACATACAAAATAAATTTGAAAGCCCTTGACAGGAATATGACAAAATAGAAAATCAATTATGGGCATGTCGAAGCTTAAATACCCTAACCAGAGTGTACTGAAAATAACTTAAATAATACAAAAAATTCTTGTTCCATAAAAAACTATTTTTCGACTGTTTCTTCCTGTAGAACTATGTAATATAGTCATCCAATATTTATAGGATATGTTTTATATATGAGAAACAATATGAATTAATCTCAAATCGGATCAAGATATAGATATATTTTACTATATGAACAATATTTTTTTCTTCATTGAAAGAAGACCTTACTATTAATAGACCTTCTTTCGAACTAACTTTTCGATCGCGGTATCTTCTATGGAAGATCAAAGTGCTTTGATCCAGTGTCTTCTTCTTCTTCTATGCGTTACATATTCCATGTCAAGTTTATAAGACTCGAAGTTGAGTGTATGGAAAAGCTGCATGAAAAAATCATCTCAAGATAGACTCGCAACTTGCAACACTTTAGCTGTTTGTTTTCCTTAATTATATTTACGCGTGATTTACAGCCGCAACAAAAATATATAAAAAAAAAATAAATAAATAAAAAAATGGAGGAGAAATGTGGAATGTTGTATGTAAACAATAATTAAACTTGATGCGTTCGACTCGGGGCAGCGATTTGTTTAAACAAGTATTAAATATAATTTGATATTTTTATTTATAAATTTTCGGTTTTATAGAATTCCCGACCCCTTCAAGTTTTATTTTTAGCAATATGTTTCCAGTTTGATTTTTTTTTCTCATTTTTTCGCTTACAATAAACAAACATTTTGTTTATTTTCCGAAGGGTGCGAGAAGTGTTTTTATTGTGCATGGAAAAGTTTTCCCAAAATTACATTGCCTTTAATTGTTATTAACTAAATAGTTGAAGCACATTTATAGTTATTTGTTAAAGTAAACTTTACTCTGCCAGTTTTTTTTTGTTCATATTAAATTGCGATTTATTCCGGCGTAATTAACATAAATGTTGAATATGCTAAATCGTGCGAGATTCAAATTTAAAAATGCAAATTTTAATTACGCAAATTGTTTTGCGATTTTCTCTTAATTTCAGAGCGGGCTTGTGAAAGTGTATTCAATAAACTTTAAACAAAAATAATCGTAAATAATTGCGAGTTTGCCAAGATATTTATTTATATGATTATAAAAACAAATTATTCCGTATTTTATGCCGCATTTTCAGTAAATTTTAAATTGAAAAATAAAGATATTTAATTATATTTTGATTAATAAATTATTGCTGCATTTTTGAGCAATTAAGGATTAAAAAAATAAATAAAACAAATTTCTATACAAATTTCGAAATATAAATTTAGAGCAAAAAATTTTCAACTCAATTTCAACAGATTTTTCCTTAAACCACAAAATCTTTATAATCTTTAATTAGATCATAAAAATATAATTTAATAATATTCAAAGGCTCATTAGTTTTGCGAAAAGTGGACACAAATCTCTCGAACTATTTAATTGTTAACAATTTAATGCCCGAAAATTCCAACATCAAAAGATTTTTTTTTTCTGCCAGAGCGTGAAATGTGCTTTTCCATAAAGAAAAAATAAATGCATGCGCCCAAATAAATATTGTAAAATATGCGTAAAAGCCTATTTAAAATGCTGAACAAATATTTAAAAAAAATGAGGCAGACCAAGGGGCGAGGACAAGAGGGAGAGGGCGCAGGCAGACGTCATGCATCAAAGTAAACTTTATTTAAATTAAGCGCAAATATTTTGACACGTCGACAGTTGAAATAAAACCAGATGAAATATTTCAGCGAAACGGAATCGTAACGAAACAAACTCTGAAACTGCATTTAATTGAAAAAAAGAAAAGAAAAAATACAAAAATATTATGCTGCAATTGGAATAAATATTTTATGCACGAATTGGCAGCAATCCCGCCCTATCTCTCTCTCTCTCTCTCTCACACACACTCTACCTCTCGCTCCCGCCGTCCTTTGTTTCTCATGTTCCCTGGCCCACTCTCATCTGTGCTGGAACCGGCTTAAAGCAGCACGCGAAAGACTTCGAAACGAACGCTCAATTTTAATGGCACTTCTTTCTCTTGTTGTTGTTGTTGTTGTTGTGTGCAATTGAAATTAATTCAAGTTAAATTGAACTTTTTATTAGAACATTGACCCAACGGCAGCGCCTCGACAGAGCTGAGCTGGCATCTCACACTTTTCTCTTCTCGTTTTCGGGGCAAAGCACATGCAAAGTGCGCTGCCCTAATCAGCTGTTAAATCAGTTGTTTAATCAGCTCTATGTATGCGTACGATAAGCAGAATACATAATATACATAAATACATATAATAAATAAACGTACGTACGTCTGGCGAGAACATAATACCAAAAACACTTCCGTTATCAAAGCAGACAGCAAACATTGTAATCAGAATTCATTACAATTATCCGACTAGGAACTGGCGAAGCTGTCAGCGAGAGTGTTTCAAGAAGTTGGCACGAAAGAATAGATATAGTTCAAAGTTTTAGAAATGTATTCAATTTGCTTTCAATTGACGTAAAGAAATATGCGTGACATTTTAAACATTTCTTACTTTCCTGTAATTGTATATTGTGACATAAGCTGGCATCACTTTACACTTTCTCTCACACTGTCTCAGTTATTTATGTTTCTTTTGTACAAATGAGATGTTGTTAAATTCGTCAAGCGTAACGGTTGACTTTCTTGCTTTTTGTCTCCTTTCCTTTTCCACACGTTCCTCATTATACATATGCAAATAAACATATTTTCGGATTCCTCTTCGTGCTGCATTCGTAAATGTTTTACTGACTGCACTTTGACAACAAACGTTCTCTGTCTGATGCTTTAGTTCTTCTTTGTAAATATTTCATTGTGCTTGCTCTTTTCCACTCTCTCGCATATTTACTTGACTAGTTTCTTTCACTGTGCCCTTCTTCAACGTTTTACAGGCTGCACTCTTAGAAATTCGTACCCTTTGCTTGCCGTTTGTTTGTATTCTTTTTTTCTGCGACTCTCTTACATATTCACTTTTTATTATTCCTTTCTCTTGCTTCGTAAGCGTTTTACTCTCTACAAACAGAAACTGTGCCCACTTCATGTTCGACCCTCGTCTGTGCGATTTGAGCTTGATTTATTGGGCGACACAGGAACTTGTTTAGTTTAGTTTTGCCTTTGCTACAACTGGCTGAATACAGTTTAATTAGAAGTCGACTGGCTGTAATTAGTTAAAGCCGCCTTCGGCAAATTACGCATACAGAACCCGAGACGTTTGTTGTTTATTTATTTGCTTGGCCTTAGCTTTTGTTTTTTTGTTGGATTGTGTAAGCCTGTCCATATATTGATGGCTAAATCAATTAGAAAGTCAACTATGGCTGAAAGTAATTAGGATTTTGCCAGTTGCTGTTACATATATTACTATTATTATTATTATTGTTATTGTTTTTTTTTTTATGTAAATTTTAATTAAGTTTCGCTTCGTATTTGGCGATTTGGCAACTTGATAAACGGCCAACAGGCACGCAATTTGGCCAAAAACTTGGTTGTCGTGTGCGGCGACTATTAAAACAGGTGGGCAATACCATAAAAAACAAAAACAAAAAAAACAGGGCGTGGCTCGGGCCGCCTCACATGCAACTGGTTGACTAATTTTATGTGTTTTTTATACCCTGAACCCAATTAAAATGGGTATAAGGGTATATTATATTTGTGCGAAATCCAAATGTATGTAACAGGCAGAAGGAAGCATCTCCGACCCCATAAAGTATATATATTCTTGATCAGCATCAATAGACGAGTCGATCTAGCCCTGTCCGTCCGTTCGTCATCTCAGAACCAATAAGAGCTAGAGACTTGAAGACTTAGATGTAGATGCTCCTAGTGCCCGCGTAGATTGAGTTTGTTTTCGATAATCGATCAATTACTCCGTTTCCAAGCAATCGATAAAAATCGATATTGATATCCTATTTTTTGAGCAATTTTGGTAAATAATAAGAGCTAAAGTCACCAAACTTGACATATAGCTTCTAAAATAGAATATATTTGTTGTTGGAAGAAGACGGTTCAGGGCATCCCCTAGTCGGGAGCTCCCGATGAAAACCTCTTGTTTTTTTTTTTGTTTCTTGTATTTTTGCGGGAATGAGGCCTTGTCCTGCCTTATCGCAGACGTCCCAATTTCACGGGCTGCCATTTCTCAATCGCCTGACGATAATTTGATGCGATTTCTTTGCAGCGATAAAAAATAGTTCTATATGCTAATAAAACTTGTACTTTGTACAAACGTGTTTTGCATAAAACAAAAATCATTTTGCTAAATCTAGATGCTAAATGATTTGGCATTGGCAGCGCGAAACCTACAATGCAGTCCCCGCGCAGAGCTCTTCAATCTGTTTATTTGACTTAATGTGTTTTGGATGGATTATTGAAATATTTCTTTTCACGGTCTCTTAGTTTTACGACTTGTCTAATAAATGTGCGTGTGTGAGGGGCTGTGAAGAGGTGCGAATGGCAGCGTTGATTGATAAGAATGTGCTTGGCGCAGACTATTTACTGGTACAGTAAAATCTCGATAGTGTTAACTAGCAGGAATAATAAATTTTTTACAAGAGCCCTTAAAGTAAATTAAGCAAAGAACCAAGAAATCAATAAAGGTTCCGCTTTATCATTTTACAAAAAAATTTTTGTTTCTAATAATGCATAAAAGTCTTGTATATAATATGGTACTTTGTGCAAAATATATTTAAAAGTAATGCAATATAAATTAAAAACTGGGAATTAATTTAAAATAATATGAATAAAACATAAAGTATTACTTGCATTAATTTAATTTGATTTGTTTTCAGCCAAGTCACAAATTTTTTATTTATTTTTATAAGATTTTATATATTTTTTTGGCAGTTACAATTTTATTTCTATTATGCTTAACATGCTTTTATATTTTTTTATTTTTTTATAATTTCATATTTTATTTTCTGAATTTTTTTAATCTTTCACACGCGTTTTTTCAATATGCCAAATGCAATTTGGGCTTTGCATTATTTTTGTGCACATTTAATATTTTCTATTTTCATCAAATTACCTGTAAATACATTTTAATTAATATTACATAATAAACACGCACGCATACAAGCATTTAATGCGCCTGGAAAGGCTTATACAAATTACCGAAACAAAATTTGTCATTAATTATTTTTGCATATTATTGAATTTTAATGCGATTGTGTTTGGATGTGTGTGTCTGTGTGTGTGTGTCTGTGTGTGTGTGTGTGCATTGACATTTATCAATCCCCGTTGGACAGCTGGTTACATGCCGCAGGCTTATCAATTATCCTGCATCCTGCATCCAACATCCAGCATCCTGCCAGCCTTTGTTCGCGTCCATTGACAGTTCACCTGACAGTTCGGCCAGGTGCCAAGGGCCGTGGCAGCAGCCGCATCGATTTTCGGCAACGCCTTCAAAGAATGCACATGTCAGCCAGTGTTGCAAATGCGTGTTGCTGATCTGACCGGGCGTCAACTCTGCTATTTTCGTTCGGCTGCCAGAGTTGTCGCCAACGGGCAAATTGTTCACGTCATTTATAAGCCGTTCAATCATTCCGGGCGGGGCATCGGTTCCGTCAGCTGTCCGCCGGCCTGCACTTTAAACCTTTAGCCCATGCGTTATTTTTGGCCAAGAAAGGGAATGAGAGAGAGTGAGAGAGAGAGAGAGCGAGCGCTCTCCAGACTCTCGCAATTAGTCAGCTGCTGTCGCCAAGTGTCAAAATATTTCGCATGAACATTTTCTACACAAAATCTATTTTCTCATGCAACGGATTTTCACTTGGCCAGGCGCCCACAAACAGACAGACAGACAGACAGACAGACGCATCAGCACGCAGGGGGTGTGTGCTTTTGGGATGCTGTTGCGAGGGGGGGGGGGGGGGGTAGGGGGGCAGGGGAACGTCTGCTGCATGAGCAATGAGCGTGAGCTTGCATGGCATGGCCAAAATGTCACGTATACGTCGTGTGGCACGCCACACGGCAACATGTCACCAGCGGCCGGTTTCCCCTCCCCTTTCACATCCCCCCTTGCTTGCTTAGTGAGGTAATTACGTCATTAACAAGATATTTGAAAAGTGCTCAGCATTTCATTTCATGTCACTTTGTTGCTCTATAATAAATTTCGCTGCCTGCCTCAATTTTTCGAGAATGCCTGCTCGAGTTTTCATCTGGTTTTTGACATTTCGTTTAATATACCTAATTGAACAGACTAAATCAAAAATTATTAAGCCCATTCAGCTCACATTTGTTTAGTCACGGTATTATTCACAATATTATTCATGCTCAAAGTGGGAAAACTTTTACGTTTCACAATTTTTTATCAACTTGACTCACAGCTGATAAATATAAAATAAATTTTGGTTTATCAAACGTTTATTAATATTATACGTTCAGGGATTACAGATTATAATGCTGTTAATATTTTAATCGTTAATTAACAATAAGCGAACGCATTCTTTAGATAACAAAGCGAATATCAGAATATGTTGTGTGCACAGTTGAAAGTGGGTTAAATATGTTATAGATATATGTAATACCAGCTGGAATATTCTGGTCTTGCTCGGTCGAGGCCCTTTCATTTAAAGAGATTGTATAAGAAAAGATTCAAATATATATAATATGAACGTCTAACAAATATAAACTCAAGCTATATATGCAGATACGTGTATATAAGTATCTTAGACTAGTTCGTCCCATATACTATAGAGTATTTGCTCTGTGCTTTTTTTCTGCATATTTATAATTAAAAGTGCAGAGTAATTTCTATGCAGCCCATTTGTTTCTAATTAATTTGTACACCCTTGTAGATTCTATTATAATTTTGTCATGAAATGTGCGACGCATAGAAGGAGACATCTCCGACCCCATAAATTGTATATATTCTAGATCGGCAACCGCGCATGATTTGTCTGTCTGTTTCTATGCGAACTAGTTCCTCAGTCAGAAATCGTCTTGAGACTCCGTCTTTCTGTTGCAGGCAGTACATATGCATATCGGAAACTGCCGGATCGAATCAATATATCCCATATCTGCGATAGGAAACCAAACCTTATTAATATTGCACTACTATGTTCTTTAGCTCTAAGGGTAGAATTACCAATAAGAAAATGATTCATCCGGCGCTTCGAACTCCGAACTTCGACTATGAATATTATTCTTGGGAAAAACTTAATTGTATTCTTTCGAAAAGCCTAAAAAGCCACGTCTAGTCGTGAATAATCATATGACTTGAAGCTATTTTCATTTCCGTAAACTTGTAATTAAGTCGCGTGCATCTGCTCTTTTTTTTCGTTAGCCAACAGTAAATACTCGCATTTAACGAACCGGGCATATGATTATGGTCAATTGGCGCTAATTGGTTGTCAAAAGTCGTGCGAATTATGCTGTGTTCGCGTGTCTTTGCTATTTTTTGCATGCCACGCCCACAAGCACAAGTGGGAGGTCGTGAAAGGTGTGGAGAGGGGAGGGGGCGGGTTTAAGGTGTAGGATATTGAACTCGACAAACTGTCAACCGAAATTTGTCTGTCTTTGACATTGATGCCAATAGCAAAAATTGATTTTAATGCGTGGCAAGGGTGTGTGTGTGCGAGTGTGCCTCTCTGTGTGTGTGTGTGTGTGTCTCACTCATTAATGCAACAAGCAGAGGCAGCAGCAGCGACAACTGCAATTGAAGCATCTGCTCAAAGTTTGCAGCGCCTTTTGCAGTCTTAATTAAATAAGTTTCTCGTTGCAGCAACTTCTTCCACTTGCAGCGAGCGAGTTGCGACTCATTTCGCTTGTTTGCCTTTTATATGCACAACAACAAAAGAAGTAGAAAAAAAAACAAACTTTTGTGCATCTCAAACAACTTTAATGGGCTTTTAAAAACAACGACTACAACTGCCAGCCCCATTTAATGTAATGCCAAATGCAATTGTTGGTACTCGAAATTTGGCGTCTGGCTTCTAAATGGCGGCTTTAAAACAATTTGTCAGATGCACAAAACTATTCGCCTGGCGCCGTTTTCTCTATTTGCATATTGCATTCGATGCCAGCAACAACAACAACAGTGCCTGCAATTTGTATGCAACCGGGCGCGTTGTCAGCGCTCACATTCGTGCACTTACCCAGCCCCAAGGATCATAATCTGTTTTCGAGCACTTACATAGCAAAACTTCAAATTGCAGTTGTTTTTAGTGAGTTATGCTCGTTAATACTAATACTCGTTGCCCCTTCAAAGTGCATGATTTCGGGTATAACAAAAGCTGTGTGAATGGCTGTTACCCATTTTTTGTCCGTTGTTTTTCGAATCAATTGTTCTTTATTTGCATTTTGCTTTATTGGGCTTCTTTAATGTCAGTCAAGCTTCATTTATTTAAATCCTCATTTTGCCACAATTTCATTTTTACGTACTAAAATGTAGATCGCCCTTCTATGCGATTTTCATGAGCACAAGAAATGATTACAAGATTTTTGTATTATTTTAGGTCCAATATAGCGAACGGTATTCTTTCCTCTCTTCATATTTATTTTTTCTTGCTTTCTTTGTTCCCCTAAGCTGCCTTACGCTTGTACGTTCCCATCTCTTACTCGCAGCAACTGATCGCCTCTCTACGCGATTTTCATGAATTCAAGTAGAAGTTGAATATTTTAATTCTTATTTTTATTTTGTTGAAATTTATTTAGTTTACAAGTGAGATGATTTCGAGTACTTTTTGTGTTGTATTGAGTCAATTCTGAGCTGGGTACAGCATATCGCCTAGTCGAGCACCCTCGACTAGAGAACACTCTTATTTGTTGGGCTGGCTTATGATTTCAAAGTCAACAGCAACAGCAACATGAGCTTATGGTTATGAGAGTGTGCCTTTAATTGAGCTGAAGTGCCGGGTTGTACATACATTTGTGTGTGTGTGTGTGTGCGTGTGCATCTATCTATGTACAGCTATGTATATGAATTTATGCCATAAATTGCTTTGCTCGACTTGTTCGCATTGTTGTTATACCAAATTGCTTTTGACAACAACAACAAAAGTAGACGCTACAATAACAGTGGGCTATAGATATGGCGAGACACTGAAGAGATACTTATCCAATGATTTAGTACTGGAAAAAAATATGTATTTTCCACAGAAAATATTTGTATATTTAATTGCTGGTGTCTGCTGTTGGCCGCCAATTAAATGGGTGGGGGCCAGCCAAGGTGCCAGACTGTCGATGGCCCGACGAGTCTGCCGCAGGGGCCATGCAACATCATGTGGCATCATTCTCATCAATGTCAGTTTTTTGGTGGTCATATTCAAAGTGGCAGAGTTTGATAAATGACTTTTCAAGTGCCAATTTCCTGGCCCAAACTTGTATGGAATGCAGTTGAGAGGCGGCAGCATATATAAAAAAAGCTGAAAACCAGTTCGCATTGCTTAGGCTAACAAAGACTATAATGAAGTTGGATATATGAAGGTCAAGAAGATTAGCTTCTCAATCAAACAATTAATGCTATAATTCAGTTTACATTTTTGGGAGCTTCAAAGTCCACAGCTTTTGCATGACTTTTGACAAAAAACCTAAGACAAGGACTCGGAATCAGTTAGTTTCAATAAAGTTTTGCGAATCTGTTATACAAATAAGATACACTTCACGATCATTAAATATTATACAAAAAAGCTAAATGGTAAATTAAACTTATGAACAAATGGCAGAAGAATTTATTCAGTTTCGATAAAGTAATGAGAAATTCATATAAAACAGTCCGATAATCCATTAATTATATTAAAATAAATATTGACCACATATCTAAGCCAAAAACAAATGTTGCGAATGCAATATGAAAAATAAAGGAACATACGATATGTGAGATAGTTTTGCAGCAGTTGATAAAAAACCAACTTTGTTGACTTTGCTAAATAACAATTTGATTGTGCAGCTAGCAGAGTTTGTTAAGCATTGCTAACCAAATCATTATGCCAATCAACAAAGCAGCTAAACAGCAACAACAGCAACAACAACAGCAACAACAGCAACAACAGCAACAAATATAACTACTAAAACAGCTGATACAACAACAACTAAGCCCTATAAATATGTGGCGTTAAAACTTTACCACAATTTGCATGGTTCACTGGACGCTGAAATAAGTTTGTTAAATGTTATTATGCGCTGGTCAACAACAACTAAAACAATAAAAGCAGTGCATGTAATAACAACGGAATTATACAACTCAATTACGAGCACATAAGTGCCCCAAATATGTATATAACATATATATATATATATATGGAGACTGCCGTCCCACTATCAAGAAGAGAAGGCGTCTGCTGGCCGGGCCCGCCCTTACCGCTCCATAGACCCGTCAGCGGAGAGTGCATTTCTATTTTGGAGTAGTTTTTCATTAGAATTTTACGATGTAAATTGGCTTTTCATTTGGAATTGTGCGTGTCGTTGAAGCTGTTGTCGCCCCAGCCCAGCCCTGCCTTGAGCATGGGGTCACCCGTGGGGCTACGCACTTATCTATTTATTATTATGGCACACCACGCTCCACTGATTTATGTTAATTTGTTGTGTCAGCTTTCCATAAATAAACATCTGTTTAAATTTTATTAAACTAATCTTTTATGTTTGTATATTAATGTTTTACATTTTCGATTCATTTCAGGCGTCACAATGCGCGAGAAAAAAGGCGGCGCCCTGCAGAAGCTCAAAAAGAGGCTATCGCACAGCTTTGGCAGATTAAGTGAGTACCGACTTATCGATAAATTTAAACGATTTTTCTTCTTTTTTTTTCGCCAAAAGGGCACTTTAAACTTTGTCCATCCACCAAAAAAAACATTTTTATTAATTTTTCCAAAAAAAAAAAAGAGAGTAAAAACTGAAAACAAAAGCTAAACTACAATAAATCAGCAACAAAAGCTAACCATAAATGGGCTACGAAAAATAAGAGAAAACAGAGCACAGAAAGAAAAAAAATAAAAATAATATAAAATAGCTGACAACAGAAGCACAACAGACCATATAGTTGTGTGTGGGTGCAGTTGACGTACAATGGATTTATATATATAAATATATATATATATATGTATATGATTTTTACAATGGCTACATAAAGTTGGGCGTTGCATTGAGCAATGAGAAAATGTCGCGCATGAATCATGCACAATAATAATTCTCAAGCTAAAGTTGAGAAACTGCGCTTTGCCAAGCACTTGAGCGTAGCGGAGAATAGCTAATAAATCAGATGAAAAGATTACCTTGGATACAATATTAAAAGCCTCTTAGCTATGCAAATCGTTTGCCATTTGACATTGGCAGTAAGTGCATTAGCTTGATGCGAATAGTGCTTATAAGGTATCTGGCCTTATAAAAAGTACTTCCTCCTTTGAAATGCAATTATTTTCTTAGCTAACAAGCCTGATCTTAGGCTTAGAAGAGCGCATTTGTCTTTCCGCTTTGTGTGACGTTCGTAAGCGTTGCACTGACAGCGCTTGGATATGTTTGAAAAGAAAAGAGAGTCGTTTCTTTTTCTGATTTCTGTAGAATTTGTAGCCTAATACTCGCCCGCTTTAATGATAAATATCATATAGTTCAATGAAGTTATATCCTTAACATAGCAGAAAAGCGCATTTGCTTTTTCGTTTTCTCTTTGTTTCCTCATTCGTAAGCGTTGCACTGGCTGCGCTGCGCTAAACTTGAATTCGTTGACACTACAATTTATATTCTTAATATAGTATTATTATTATTTGCAGCATATTTACGCTTGAGCTTTAATTTTCGTTCGCTTTAAGCACCAAAGATTAAACCCAAATGAGAAACTGCTAAAACTCGAACGCAGTTTGAAAACTTTATTAGCTTCACAGCAAGCCATAAACTGGCTGCAAAAGTTATGACAAAGTTCTCGCCGACTGTGGAAATTTGAATCTAGTTGCAAAAGTTTCTGCGTTAAACACATTTGCTGCACGTGAAGCGCTTTGATAGACTCGCAAAATAAAAGTTTATAAAACCAATAGACAATATTAGACAACCGACGACTGCGACTACGGCTAAAAACCAGAAAAATAGAAAACAAACAAACGGGAAAAAAAACGGTGAGAATATTTTTGAAATTTGCCCGCAGTTATTCAGGGAGCTGTCAAAGCTGCCAACGCTGCGTCAAAAACAATTCAAACACACTGAAACGCAATGGCATAAATGCAAAAGGGGTTCAAACTAAACAATAAAAAAAAAAACACACACACACACACACAAACTGCTGGTCACACTGAAAACTGAAAACTGCGTTTGGTTTGAAAAGAGAGAGGGCGAAAAAAAGAAATGGAAAACAAATGTTTGCAGCGAAACAACAGAACTGTCAATGTTGAGTCATTTGCCAAAGCATTTAATGGTCAAACATTTGGGAACTGCATTCTGGAGCAGCAGCTCCCACAGTCCCAGCCCCAGCCTCCCCCTTTACGGCCAGCCAGTCAGCTGTCCATGTTAATTGAATGCAGCAGCTGAAACTGACTGTGACTGACAGTTGGAGAGACAGACCCAGCGGCGGACAGACAGCCGAAACGGAAGATGAAATAAATGGTATATAATCCAAAGTGTGCACGCTAATACGCCTGTTGCCCCCATGCAATCCACTCTGCGGTGCGCTATTTGGGCGCCTTTGTGGGGCGAATATTGTGCATTTGGTTTTTTCAAATTCCATAGTTCTTGTTTAAGTACCCTGTGTCCATTGAGAATGATTAGAACTGGGTATAATGTATGTCGGGCAGGCAGGAAATATCGCCCACCAAATATGTGGTATATTTTTGATCAAGCTATGCATGTCTGTATGATCTCAGAGATTAGGAACAGACACTTTTTGTAATTTGTACGCAAAGCAACGTGTTTTGATTTTTACAAGTTCCCAAGTCGATATAATTTGCTTTTCCCAATGTTTTTTTCTTTCTATAAATGCATGCTCCCTCTTCTTTCATATCTATAAATCGATATATATCGATTTTTCCCAAGAATTCAGATATATTTCTCTGAGCTCAAATATCATAGAAGCTGCATAATCAGGTGTAGCATATCAAGCGAATATGAGTTGAACAGATATTATTCAATAGAACAGATCGCCCAATTATTCCATTTCCTTTAAATCGATAAATATCGATATACGTGGAAACATAAGAGCTAGAGAATCCGAATTGACCGTTTTTGTTTCCCAATAGCAAATTCAAATTCAAGAGTTTTAACTTTAATGAGCGATACAATATTTCATTAGAACTTGGGTTCGCTCCGAGCTGTGTACAAGATATCGCCTAGTCGAGCAGTCTCGGACTTTACTAGCTTGGTTTTTTGCTGTCATGCTTGGTTGGGGCGCCACTGTGATACCGTGTATAGCGAATAGTTGTTGACTCACCAAACCCGTTTCGGGTTGCGGCATGCGGCATGCGGCTAATTGTCTCTCGACGCCCACAATCCCATGTTTTTGTTGCTCCTCTCGATATATTCGCGTTTCAGAAACAAGTTTTGGCTTTGTCTTCCAAAAAATAACAAAAACAAAAAAAAAAAACCGCTTTATGTGCAGAGCATTATGTGATCAAAGAGCCAAACAGCTGTTGCCCGGCCGCAATTGAGAGAGACAGACTGGGTTAGTCAGCTATTCGATACGATAATGGGCAGCATTAGATTATTGTTCAGTGTGACCATATTTGGCACGAAAATTGTGTATTTCTGAATAGATATTGATTGCCTAATACGCTTGAGGGCCACCTTTAAATAAAATTCAAGTTGGCTTGAATGGGGCAATAAAACTGGCCAGATTTCCCCAGGCAAGTCGGCATATGCATGCCCTAGATTTGATAATGCATTAATGGGATATCACTGATATATAAAGCTGATCTTTCATCCCACACTATTTAAATACTCCTAATTATATACCTATAATTTATGCGCTGGTTATATTAAAAGGGAAATAACAAGTCTACAATTCGGATTAAAGGCTGTTAAAAATATCAAATAAATATCTTGGTAAATAAATATAAAACTAACCAACTTTACACACAACAATTCTATATATAAGTATTTCCCTGCTCAATGAAGCATTAAACTCAGTTCTTTCACTCGCTAACTTCCGTAGCATTCAAAATGTTTTGCTTTGTGCCTGGCAAACTGCATGACAAAGTGCCTGGTAACCAATATTTAAGTTTAGCTCGCAGCAAAGTTGGCCAACTGCCGTTTAGTTTGGCTCGTCTGTCACTCACAAAAACCAACAAATTGCCTGTATATATATATTTATTTGAAAATTGCAATTTCTTTTTATGCAACGACAACTCTGCGCGGCAGCGCTGTGACAACTCTAGCCGCAGCCCCCGCGCAAAACAGGCGAGTTCTTTTCCCTGAGCTGCGTTTTTTTTTGGCAATTTCATTGTTATTTTCCACACGATTTTGTCAGTGAATGCAGCTCATAAATTTTGCAATTGAGAAACTATTTTGTAGCACTTTTTTCTCTCTCGCTACCTCTTTTTGAAAGGGGCTGCTTGGGGCGGGGCAGGGGCAGCTGCAGACAAAGTCGCCAAGTTGCTGCAACTTAAATGTTTTCTTTGCATTATTGAACAGTTGCAGCAACAGCTGCGGATGCGACTTGCTGCAAAGCAAAGAATGTCACACAAGTTGCAAGCAACTTCCATTTGCCAACTATAATCTGTCTCTTTCACGCACACTCTCGCTCTCTCTCTCTCTCTCTCTCTCTCTCTCTCTCGGTTGCTCTGTCAAGGCTATTGCAGAAGCCACTGGCAAGAGTTGCAACTTTGTTGTTGTTGTTGTTGTTGTTGTCAGTGCTGCGTTAAACTATCGTTAATTGCTGTTAGTTGTTGTTGTTGTTGTTGTTGTTGTTGCATCTGTTGTTGCTGATGTTGCTTCAATTTCAACGGGTTTTCTTTCCAATTATGTACAAGCTCGACAAGCTCAACTGCTTCATTCGCTGGCAATAATAAAAGTTATGAACTAATAAGCAGACAAGTCAAAGGGGGGGGCACTGTTTGTCAGGCATTAAGTAAATTGCATTAAGCTGAGCTGCGTCTAGCTAACTACCCCACCCAGCCCCGCCCCGCCGTCTACTCCGCTGTCCATTTGCTGGGCGCATCAAGTGTCGCTCACGATTCCCGCAACATAACCAGAACCTGAACCAAAAGTGTTGTCTGGACTCGGTACTCGGTACTCTCTGGGCGTCGGGTTCTTGCACTTGACTTTGGACTCTGTTTAAATGGTCAGCGAGGTTATCTTCATTTTGTCAGGGAATATGTAACGCATAGCGTAGCTACTAATCAAAAGCTCATATATTTTTGATCAGCATTAGCAATCGGGTCAATATACCTATAAGAACTAGAATCTAGAAGAATCTAGAATCTGCTCCACAACATATTTGCCCGAAATTATGTTTTATTTGGAAAAGATAGCCTTTAAAAATGAAGAAAAAACATATTTGGATAAGGTTTTTATTTTTTATTTTAGAACTCATGCTAAAATAGAAAGAGTCAAAAAAATAATCGAAAATTTCGGAAATTTTACATTTCATGGGTATTTCTTATTAAATTAAAGAAATTTTTTTATAGGCTACATAAGTTAGGGTATCTGAGCTTCGGTCAGCCAAGATTTGTTATTATTGTCTTGTTTTTCATTTTTCATTTTTCCTTTTCTGACTTTTAACTTTATGATACCGGCACATTCCAGAAGTCTCATTCTTCCGCTTGTGGTTGACGGGTTCTT